TTCACTAAAAGTATAATGCTGAATATAATACAATCGACTTAATTAATAAGTTGGAATTCAATGCATCAGTAAAATTCTCCAACCTTGGGATGAATGAAAAGGATAAAGCTATATAGATTAATACTGAAAATTCAGAAATTCAGAGGCATGTATAATACTTTGGGTAATTAATAAAACAGAAAATCAAGCAAAAAGAACTGGCTGATCTCCTTCTGTTTTTTAAAGATTGACACCATTACACTGTAGTCACAATTACGAGTTTAAGGCAATATGGCAAAAGAAGCCAAAAATACTAATAAAAGTAACTCACATATTTGGGGTGTTAGTAATCCTATGTACAGTTAAAAGATATAAATACATTGCTGGTATTCATTGTTAAAAGTGTTAATATATGCTGCAATGGTTATTTAAAAAAAAAGTAATGCACTTCAAAAACATAATATATATATGCATAAACTACCTGTACTTTTACTATTACTAACAAAAACAATGATGTTGCCTGTTATGGTTGTAATACATCGGCTTCTGACACTCATTTTCACCATTGATTTTGCTATTTCCATGAAAGCTTTTAGCAGGCTATATGTATTTTTAATATATTAATGCATTACTATGTATCTGACATGTCATCTCTTCCATTGGTACACAACCAAGCCTTCAATCTATTGTCGTGCCCCAACAGGCAGTATTTGTTCTGGCATGGTTGGGTCCTGTGCTGTTCCTGATGAAAATATCCAATGATTGCTGTCCTTTTCAGCTCGGTGTGAATCAAGAACAGTGTTGGCAGTAATCTCATATTCACTACCAAAGGGTGTCCTGTTTAAAGAAAAATAAAATGATATGCTATTAGTAAAACTATCACAAGTGTTTTAATTAATATCACATTTCTTATACATAAATATAACATACATATACCAAAATTTGTTGTTGTTTGTATTATAATCATTTTAACCAAATCAAATTTAGACATGACAGTCCAAAAATTATATGTTTCTATTACAACAAAAATAAACTTTTGGCTCACATACATGCATTCTATTGCATTTGTAATGGGGCTAGAACGCTATCAAAGATAAACTTTCTATTCTGCCAGCATTTGTCATATGACTTGACTGACATTATTGACAACTTCATTACTATTCTTGGCTGCACCGATAATGACTTACTTGAGTACATAATCACCAACAACATTTAAGGCTTGGTTGGTCTTGCAGTGAACAATCACAAGTTTCTGGTTAGCCTGCAAATATATAAATGTATTAACAATTAGTTGAAAATTACTAACAGTACTAGATCTAGTTGCAATAAGAAAACACACATTCACATAACCCAGTCCCTATCATAAATAGCTATTAATAAATAATAAAACTGAAACTGTGTATTAAAGTTCTATATGAGAAAGTTTGAATGTGAACAGCATTTCGTCAATAAAATGGCCAATATTTTGGCTATTTTGAATATGATCTGTAAAACACAGAAATGTTCATCAAGGTGTCATAATGTCCTATGTATGTACCAAGTTGAGGAATGGCAAAAATACATGACTTGGATGCATTTTAGAATAAAAATTGCTGGCAGGATGAACAAAGTGGTATAAAGACACGAAATAATATGATACTTACAGGGACTGGTAAGCCTTCAGTTTCCATTCTAATTAAAGGATTAAATGATAATACTTTCCATTCAGATAAATAACATGTCTGCTCTTGTAAACACACCTCTTGTTGTCGTGATTTTTTGGAACATTTTGTGAAGGTTGCAATGTCGCTGTGAAGTTTTAACTGAAATATAATTAACACAATTTAAGGAGGTGATGCTTACAAAATAAAATTCATGTGATAAGAACATAAAAATAAAGTGTAGACATAACAACAATATTTTGAGAAAAAAAGTGGGTTAGGCCAAAAAGATTAAGAAGTTTTTTTTTTTTTTAATTGTTATGAAATGTGCCTATATTTTGATTTTCCATGGTAACTAAGGGACGACGTCAAAAGATCGATGTCGGATAAAAACTTATTTCCTTTAGTTTGGGGGTGGGGGGTTTTGACCTCAAAAAGTTTCCATCCTACAAAAACGATTTTATTTTTTAATGAAGTCAAAAAAATCTTGGAGTATTTGTAGTTCGCTTTTTTCTATCCAATCATGGACAGAAATAACCGAAAAAAAATGGTCATTGAATCTAGACACTTGTAAAAAAGGTGACATGACAAATGTTGTATAGGGTCATGTTATTGTGTCTAAAACAATATTTCGGTGTGATTTTGTAATCTTTTTGTGGTTATATTTAAACAAAAAAATGTTCAAAATCACAGCTATTGTCGCTTTAAGTGATGCATGTGATGCATGAATATATTTAGTCTGGGATTAATATTAATTGTTAAACACTAACTGAATTAATCTATTTATAACCTACATTGCCACCTTGTCCTGGTCCAGTACAGATCATGAAATGCTGTCCATGTGTCAGTGGTGCACCAGGAGGAGAATCATCAACTCTGAAAATCAATACAAATTAGGTATATGCTTATTTACTTTCTAGATTTGACACAAGTACTAGATGGTTTGGATCAATTAATTGGGTTTCAAATAAATAAAATATGCACTGTTAGAATTCCCTTGAAAATGTGAATATTTCATCATTGTTATTCACCTCAAGCAAACCAAACCGTTTGATGGATAGAAATCAAGTGACAATATACTCAGTGTAGTATATTTATAGAATCAGTATGAATGAAGCTGAATTTATTGCCAAGGATTCAGTCTCACTTAACAGACAAACAAACGAACACTCATCTAGAAAGAGTGCATTAACCCTAGTGTCAACTTTTAGTACCATTTACAAAATTATTTTGTACAGTCTGCTCCGGCTCACATGGAAAGTAGATAAAAAATAAGGAATCTATGAGTTTGTTTATCTGCAACTGAGTATAATAGTTTCACTGTTTGTGTACAAAAAGTGATACTTACGGCATTATAACAAATGTGTTCCTGGCAGTAGGTTCTAGTCTTTTAGTAGCAGATACAGCACATGGTCCTTCCAATCTTTCAGCTTCATGCATTTGACTTTCACTCATGTTAACAGCCATTGTAGTAGCTCCACGTAATTCTGCCCCGGTCACATCCTTAGAACCAGCATTCATAAGCATAACAACATCACCAAAATGTACAAAGCCATCACGAGTAATTGATAATTCAGCCTGTAAACATAAAAGATATTTCATATTATTTTCCTGGAAACACAATATTCAACAGGTGTCTGTAACACAATTACAGATATGTACAACCCAAACACAGTCTACAGTATATTATTATTGGTGATGAAAAATTGTTTAATTTGGTTATATATATTCGAACAGTTTTTTCACCTTTTTCAGAATATTAGATGACATTTGTGATGCTTTCTGGATTAAAAGTTGACCTCTTTCTCGTTTCTCCATGAAATCCTTCATTGTATCCTAAAATCAAAGGTGGACAAAAAATAGGATTATCATTGAATGTAACAAAGATACATACACCAAGCCAACATGTTTAAACTTAAAAACATACTTCTACATACAAACTTTTTTTAATTTATAACCCTGACTGTTTTCATTTGAAATCCGGTTCAGGGTTTGTATTGATCAGTATATGTAATCCACACTTGAGCACTCAACCACCACACCTCAGCTATGGGGGGGGGGGGGGGGGGTCGTTTGTCAATTACCACCATGTATTTCACATGACTGGACAACAACAACAAATAGCCAATTGTATGTGCTACTCATCTCTATACACAAACCCAGGTGGCAACTGCTCAGCCAATCACATTACCTCATTACTCCATCAGGTGTTATTTTGATAACCATCAAAATAGACCACCAAAATCATGAAAATTGAACAGCCTCTCTCCATTTCATGAAGAAATCATATGTTTGAATTTTAAATATAGATATTTATGTTGATAAATAATTTACATACTCGCCATAATCTTGGCGTTACAAAGGCAATATTCATCTTTATAAATTTCAATGGCAGTTATAATTAATTAATTTAATTGAACACTACATATACTATTCGCACAAGACAAAGCGCAAGGGTCCCTGTGTACTAGTGCTACGAACGGGGGAAGGTGACATCACTGCTCCTTGTATGAGCCCCATCCTGTGGGTGGCTGGGAAACGGGGTTAGGGAGTTGGCATTTGGCAGAACATGACCAACATAAAAGGCAATGCTGCACACAAAAATAGGAAGCACCACAACATCATTATAACAAATCTTAATAACAAATTTTGAAAAACAGAAAATCCAGTACGAACATCGCTGCCTTCTTACCAACCGTCGACCCGGGCAATGTGTAACAACACTGAACTGACTCAAGTAAAATGTTTTGAAACATACCTCTTCCAGGCAGATATCCTCATTCCAGTTGCCCACGCGGACCGATGGGTTATATGTTCTAACAGTACTCATGGTTAAATATAACAATTAGCCACGAAAGAAGGCAAATTAAAACAAATGATTTACAAAACAGAGTTTCTGATCGTTCAGCTCGCTTTGCAGGTCAATAGTCTCCTTGGTTACAACGGAAATGGTTCATCGCGCATGCGTTTCGTAAACTACAAGAGATCGTAGATGGCGCTATGCACCATACCTCACAGATTTTGTTTACCTTGTTTCGCGAGATTGGGTTGTTATACAAATTACAAAAAGCATGGATCAGTAGAAAGATATGTAGTCGGAACAACCGTCGAAACCAACCAAGTTTATACTAAATAGTTTTTATCCAACAGCCGCGGCGGAATAAAACAAGGTTATAGTCAAT